CTGCATCGTATGGTGGCCCCATGAGGCACCCCTACTTCTGTATGGAGAGTGAGATGGTGGCCATACAGGTAAGGGACGGTTCTATCTAGTATGTAGCTACGATAAATCTAGTAGCATTATAGGTCGAGAGCACACTATTTAATGTGCACAAGCAGCAGCTCTGCCGCTCTGAAACATTCAAGGAGATGTTCGGCATAAAAGAAACTAGCATGGTGACTCAAGGCTCGTCGCTTGATAACCCAATCAAGCTCCTTGGAATACCTGCGCAAAGCTTTGAAAGTTTGTTAACCGCGTTATATACGTAGTAAGTGCTAGTTGTCCATCTTGGCAGATGCTACTTAACTAAACACCAAATGGCCAGCTCTTGTCCGTCATGCACTCACGCGTTACAAACAATTGAAACACGTTCATTCGACCCTCGTCATATTACGCCTGCTTTTCGACTCGCAGACATGTGGAGCTTTACAGACCTCCATGGGCACTTAATTCAACTGGCGACCGAAAAGCTTAATGCTGTCGACCAGGTTGTGTTTGCATACGAGTTTGTTCTCGAGGACTTGCTTGAGCAAGGATACCTAGACCTTTGCCAACGCGACGAGCCGCTGACACCAAAAGAGATGAGCAAGCTGGGCCACGAGAGTTCTGCTCTCGTCAGTCGCTTGCGTGAGGAGTGTTGTAGGAAGTTTCTTCAAAACGCATCGATTCTGCAACGCGCCACCGACGACAACTATCAGCACATCTTTTCCTTGTCCCAAGACCGTGCCCGGCGCAAACGCCATACGCTAACCGTGCTGCCGGCTGGTCGTGCACTACTGCCGTGTTCAGAGGAGGCCAAGAATTTCCTTGTGGATGAGATTGAAGAGTTTGTGGATCAGTGGATAGGTCGTTCTAAGTGACTTGCTGGTGGTTGTGTGACGTTGTATTAAAACTACATATTGTATGTATTGGTGGTCCAACTGGCGAAATGTATGTAGCATAGGTTTCTGTAGACGGGCTCGAACGAAGTGGAAAACACTCATTGATGTATACAGGACAATGTAGAGCATCTCTTCTATGTATGAGCGAACTATGGGCGCGAACAGAGCGGCGGTTGGGGCGTTGTGCTTTTTGCAACCAGGGGGGGGGGGGGCGTACCCAGAAGCGAGACAGCCGGACCGGTTTGGAAGTCCCAAGTTGCAATCAAGTGGGGACGTCATTACCGTTTATGGCGTACATGCCAAAGTGATGCCCAAATCGTGAAGTGGCCACTCCGCCACCGGTATCGTGCCCACTGACGGGTATAAACAATCATCTGATGCCATATGCGCGACGGCACATTGGCGTCATAAACGACAACGCGGATTGATACCTAGTAGCCAATAGCAGCTCGCATAGAAAAAAAAGACTGCTTTGGCTGGAAACCATGCCCACACGAGCCAAATTGGTTCTCGGAAGGTCTGAAGTAACCTCATCTGACGCCTTCCCTACGTCATTCGCCGACACCTATCTTCATAAATACAAACCAGATTTTTCACAGTGGCCGAAGCTGCGCTCTACACTCTACCGCTGACTTTTCGCGACGCTGTAGTTGATACTTGCCGGGCAATGGTTTCTGGCTCGTTTCTAGGTGCAGTCATGTGATGTCTCGCTTCCCGGTTAGCTAATCTATAGTGCTACCTCTGTGTCAACCAAACTGGCTAAACGTCTTCGATATATTAGACTACTCGGTGAATCATGCCCCGTGAGTTCCCTGCATTCATCGTACAACTCAACGTTTAATCTCATCAACTGTTTGCGTTTTCCGACTCAAACAGCACTGTTCTCCGCCTTGGACCCAATCGATGGTCCTACATTTTCCACAGGAGACGACCTAGTAATAGTTCAGGTGGACCGTTCAATTATGATAGATTTCCCTATAATTGCTCAATGCCCTCCCTTCCCAGGTCGAAGAAAAACTACTTCGAGTTCACAGGCAGCAGCTCTTGAAGTCGGAGGCCTTCAAGGAGATATTTGGCTCATTCAAGCTCTGCCCACCCAGTGGCAAAATTAGAGAAGGCACGTCGACTAAGCATCCTCTCAAGCTAGACGGGATTTCAGCCTCAGATTTTGAAAGTCTGTTGAACGCCCTTTATTGCAAGTACGTTGATGATCTCTACTTCAGTGTCACACCACTGATTACCTTAACTCAAGTTTCGGCCCATGTCCGGCTTGCAACGATGGCTTGGAGAGATTTCCTATTCAGTCATTAAATTCGAGCCACATCACCCCTGCATACCGTCTTGCAGAACTGTGGAACTTCGAGCACCTCCAATTCCATCTCCTAAAGCTCGTGCCACAGAGGTTCAACGCCATTGGACAAGTCACGTTTGCTCACACTTTCCGGCTTCAGGAGCTAGCCAAATCTGCCTACTTGCAATTGTGCCGACGGGATGACCCTCTGACTATCCAAGAGGGGCGGCTGATTGGAATTGAAGGCGCCATGTTTGTCAGCATTTTGCGAGAAGACCTTTGTCGCCGATTCGGGGTGAAAGGACCTATGAATACTGTGCTTATTCAACAAGTAGGGTATGGACAGCCGTCCGCTCAGCCGGACCTTCAAAGGGTTTTACTTCCGTCTACCGTTGATGCGATCGACTTTCTAAGAAAGGAAATCGAGAAGTGGGTAAAAGCAAATATATAGTTTTAGAATGACTCGTTTAGGCTACTAGTCATTGTACCTGGTAACGTAGATAGTACTAGTTATCTTTACAGGATATTCTATGGATATATGCCATCTAATGAATGGTATACAGTGAAAGTATAGTGAGCAGGTTCAAACTGTTGACCTTTGTTGATTGGCGCTAGGGTGCGCACCCTACAGCTCCTCCCACTTGTACACAGCTTCTCCTTTACTGGCCGAGAGCAGTAAAAATTACCAGATCGATTATGTACCTTTATGCTCACGCATATATAGCCTCTGGCTGCTATTCACGAAAGGCAGATCACACCCCCGGCCGTAATCATCCTACGACACCATTACAGAGCCTATGTCTAATATGTCACAACTTGCACCCACCGGGGCTTCAAGTAAGTTCATTTTATGCTCACTAGAGATAATAGTTCTGGGCTGACATGGATACATTGGCATTTAGGTGACTTGACCGCATCACACGGTGGCCCCGTGAAGCACCCATACTTTTGCGTTGAGAACGAGATGGTAGCCATTCAGGCAAGAAATAACTATATCTATTGTTCTCTTTACGTTTGCTGAGTTAGTCTCTTGGGTCTCAGGTTGAAAACACGCTGTTTAACGTACATAAGCAACAGCTCTTCCGTTCTGAAACATTCAAGGAGATGTTCAACATAAAAGAAGCTAACATCGTGGCCCAAGGATCATCGCTCGACACCCCGATCAAACTCCTCGGGATATCTGCGCAGAGTTTTGAGAGTCTGTTGAATGCATTGTATACGTAGTAAGTGTCCAGCTTTTATTCCGGTACAAATTGACTAATGTAAACAAATCAATCAGCTCTTGCCCAACATGCGTACACACTACAAATAGTTCAAACTCACCCACTCGATCCCCGCCATATCGTACCCGCCTTTCGGCTCGTAGACATGTGGGGTTTCACACACCTCCGTGACCACTTGATTCAACTAGCCGCCGAAAAGCTTGGTGCTGTTCATCGGGTTGTGTTTGCACGCTAGTTTGGCCTAGAAAACTTGCTTGGACAAGGGTACCTAGACCTATGTCAACGTGACGAGCCACTGACATCAAAAGAGACGAGCATGTTGGGATATGAGAGTTCTGCCCTTGTTGGTCGCTTGCGTGAGGAATGTTGCAGAAGGTTCCTTCAGAGCGTCTCGACATTCTTCTCGCCAGCTTTGCAGTATAACTCCGAGAGGATCATTCAAAATCCTTTCGTTCACATACCCATACCCCCAGGCGATCCCGCCCACCGCAGACGCCATACGTTAACTACGCCACCACCTAAGCGTGCATCATTCCCATGTTCAGAAGAGGCTAAGAACTTTCTCGCAGGCGAAATCAAAGATTTTGTTGCTCTGAGTATGGGTCGTTCTAAGTAATGTATCAGTAGCTAGTAATGCTACGTTGAAACTGTACATTGTACGTGCTGATGTGTATGACTCATAAAATGTAGCATAGGATTCTATACATGGCATTAAACACAGTAGAAACACCGGATGTATGCGAGGTGTGGAGGTGTGGAGAGCTTGAAGACCTCGTTTAGCAAACCTTGAGAAGGATGGGCGGTATTTAGCCTACAAGATACTAATGTTTGCTAACTAACAAATATGCTATTAATTATACCGCTAGGGAGAGATACGATAGGCTGGTACAGCTTATGCTCGTATCGGATGATCAAGGCCCCCCCGGGGGGGGGGGGGGGGGGGACGGTGAAAATTCAGGAAAATGCAAGTGCCAACCCATTAGTGGGTGTATTTACAACAAAAATTTTACGAGGGAAAATTGAAAATAATGAAGAAAACAATGTGAAAAA